CCCACTGTATTTATGACCCAAGAACATTCTTTTTCCCTCTTAAGAAGTCCATAGTTGCTTCACTGATAACTTATGCTGCCAGATGTCCTAGCAACTGAGGACACAGGATGGGAGAGTCAGTGTCCTCACTTACTGTCTGCCTCACGCATACCAGTATAATGTCCTCTTCCTTTTCCACAGCTAGTTCTTCACAGGATGTCTGTAGAGCGATCTCAAAGTCTCAGGAGAAGTCTGCCCAGAGAAAGGGAGCGCAGTCCTCCCAGTAGCTGGCTGTGTTCTCTGCACTGGGCCACCGCCCGCAGTATAACACAGCTGCGGGATAAGAGCAGTTCTTGATCACAGAGGTTTGGTTGAAGGAGGCCCTTGGTCTCCTCCCATCACAGAGAGGAAAAAATAGGTGTCTACACATCTTATACTGTAATTTTCTGTGTAAGATGCCCTGTGTTTTTCATTTCCAGAGTCTTAATCAGTTGAAATTTGAGTTTCTCCTGTAAGCCCTTAGTGTACCTGTAGTTGGCAGCAATTCAGTTAAGTAATGTGAGCTGGCACTTCCCACCCCTCAACAAAGTGACTGCATCTTCAGTTTCTTTCTCCTTGCCCCATTTTTTTTTATTATTCTTTTGCCATTTATCTTTTCCCATTTACTTTTTGCTTTCTAAGGATCCTGATGCTGTTTTTATGGTGCCCCAGTGGTAGTGACCTAAAATAGTTATGGTTGCTTCCAAAACAGGTACCTTAAAACATGCCCAAGAAAAGCCTAGGTACCCAGGTGGAAGGGGAAATGGCAAGGAGCAGTTGGACTCTAGCCTGGCATTTACTTTGTCTGTCAGTGATTGTAGCACTTTTTTTTTTTTGGAGGCAGATTGGCAGTAAAGGGCAGAATAATGAGTGTTTCCCCCAAACTACTCATATTCTCCAGAACTTTAAGCAGAAAGTAAATGCTTTGGTTTAACTTCAGATTAATGTCCTCGTTTGCTACATCCATATGCTGAGATGCTGTAGAAGCTGTTGGTTATAAGTAATGATTTTCACTGTTGTAGTTCCTTGGTTTGATGTAACTTGGTACATACTAAATCAGTGATTAACTCTCTGTCAACTGTTTTCCAGACTGGCTTTTCTGACTCACTTTCCTTTCTCTGTGCCCAGGCTGACAACCAACAATAATGAATAAACAGTATCCTTTGATTTTGAATTCGTTCACAGAACCAGCCAAATTTAAAGATCTAACATGCAGGAAATAAGCATATAGTTTATTAGAGCATCTCTAACTAGAATTTTCCACTTTGATGAAGACCCATAAAAAATACTGTAGTTCTTTGTAGTCCTCTGAGAAAATCCTTGTAAAGTATTCTAGAGTACTCTAAAACAAGGAAATTTTTCTCTGATTGGCTAATGATGTGGGGACAGAGAACTGGAATTACCAATACGAATTGTATTACCAAAGTAAATAAATGGATGGATGGATGATGGATGGATGGATGGACGGACGGACAGACAGACAGTAGAGCATGTTCAATAATAACTGTTTCCTAGTGGTTTTTCTATTTATTTTTTATTTGGCTCGTGCACGGACTGCTGAATGAATATTTGCTAGTTAGCATAGGGAAATAATAGAATAACGAGATAAAGAAGAATCCTATTTTATAAATCCCTTTAATGGACCAAGGGACCACTGGTATACTATGGGCATCTTCCATTTCTTTTTTCCTTATGAGAAGTAAGTTCTCCATGACAGTTCATCTGAGGTGAATAAACATCCATTGTATCAAATATTATTCCAGCTACCGGGGGGGATTCAGAAAGAAAAAAAGAGACAGTGCTTGTCCTTAGATTTGTACTAGTTTTACAGACACTAGAACAGGCTTTCATTTGAGCTTAGCAAGTACTCTAATATTAGTGGAAGGAGCAGTAGGTGAGTAGGTGAGAGGAGAAGTCAGAAGGATGATTTCCAGTGCTGGCGATTTGATGTGAATGGCATGACAGAAGTCATGTATGAAATGCAGAATAAGGGGAAGGAGGCAAACAGCAAGTCACCACCCTTAAGATGTTCAAGTGCAGACAGCATAATACCTGGCTAAGTGTTGCTGTTTGGGATTTAGAGCATACAAGATTGGAACCACTGTCCTTGTTCTAGCTGCTGCTACTTGTATGTAGTCCCCACTGAGACTGTGAAAATGAAAATAAGTAACACATGTCAAGCATTTATCATAACACGATGTCAGAAAATGTTCTTAGCAGATAGTAAGAACTGGGAGAGTTCAGTCAGAGTTTGGGGAGTCATGAGCAAATACTCTGAAGTAGTGACAGTGAGTAAGATTCATATAGAAGGTGGGTCCTTAGCTGCCCAAGATGAGGCATGCCTGTAATGCCTCAATCCCACATCTCACGAGGCCGCAGCAAGAGGATGAAAAGATCCAAGGCAGCCTGGACTCCCTAGCAAAACTACCCCCTACCTCCCCTCTACAAAAAAGGAGAATGGGCCCCTGAGCAAAAGTAATAGTGACTAGCAGGTGAATCTTCATCTGGGTGTGTAAGATGCCTTCCTATCCTTTGTCCTATATTTTGAGACTGACTCTGGATGTGCCACTCTGCGTTCTGTGGCAGCTGTGCATGCATGGGCGCGTGGGTGAATGTGTGTGCTAGTGTTAATACACACTGATATTGTCATACTATGTGATAGTGTAGATCTCACCATCCTAGGCACAAAAGGAGGCCAAAGAAAGAAAGTGACAGAAATAACAACATCTTTTATTAAATATTTTTCTTTAGTTACACTTAAGTTTTAACTTGTTTAAGCAGTGATGTCACAAGCAGGAATTCTTCAAGGAGGTAAATTATAGGGAGTGAAGAAGGGTGAGAAGCTGATCAGCCTTTTAAGTGGTAGCTATTGATTACCTTGGAAATGTTCATTAGTTGATAAGAGAAAAAGAAAAATATTAGGAAAGTATAGAAATAATAACGTAAGCCGTGTGTGATAGCCCATGCCTTTTATCCCAGAACTCAGGAGGCAGAGGCAGGTAAATCTCTGAGTTTGAGGCCAGCCTATTACTATTATTCTGCTAAGTGTAAATAGTACAAATAGTACAGAGTGAGTTCCGGGACAGGCAGGGCTACACGGAGAAACCCTGTCTCAAAAAAACAAAAAAATAATAAACAAAGAATTAATGATATAATGGTGAGCTCTCTGGTTTGAAGATCTACACAATTAAAAGAACTGTCTATAGCCTCCTGTGATACAGCTGTCCATTAAAAACTACATTGGTAGCATTTGTTTTACTTCTTTTCCTATGAAATGAATGACATTAAAATTCAAAGTTGCAGTCTCCAGACCAGTCCTGATCTCGCTCTGCATCCTGTGGCAGCTGTGGGTGTCTGCATGAATGTGTGTACTAGAATTAATACACATTTATATTGTCATCTTTACGTGATAGTGTAGATCTCACCATCCTAGGCACTAATGGAGGCCAGGGCAACATAGGACAGGGAATGCAGCAAAGAAAGAAACAAAGTGACAGAAATAACAAGTTAACTTTCTAAGTAAGATCTGTGAGTCTAGGACAAGGTTTAGAGCACTGGGCTGAGCAGAAGACAGCCAGGGAGCAAGAGCCACAGCTGGCTGTACAGCAGCCATGTTTGGTGCAGCAGTGAGGGGAATATAAGCTGGAGGTTGCAAACAGTCATTTCCTGCTTTAATTTTCCCAGTAGTATATTTCTAGAACTTTATATGATCACTTGATTTTACAGGTAAGCTAAAACTGGATAGTGTTTTATGACAAAGCTTCTTGGAGAGACAATACACAATATCTCTGATCACCCCAGATAGGGAGCTCACAACAAAACAAAGTACAGATAACACCAAAGTCCAGCTGGATGAACCATGGGTTTTATAGGACTTACAGGAATATGGGTGAGGGGTTATTTACAGAACCACACAAGACTCCAAGACAGCTGACTCACCAAAGCCCACCCCAGCACTGCTTACACTGCACAAAAGCTGGGAACCTGGAACACAGCGCAGTCTGCAGGCACCTCAACAGGTTGGAGAGTGTCCCATCTAAGTGACTTGGTTGCTGTAAACCTTTTCCAGGTGGTTTCTTTTCCAGCTGGTTTGGTTGCTGTAAACCTTTTCCAGGTGGTTTCTTTTCCAGCTGGTTTCTAGTCTCTGCTTCTGCAAGGCAGTGGGTCTGGTCTCAGAGTCTTCTTGGCAGTTTGGCTTGTCTGATAATGACTCTTACCAGCATTTTTATTGCCTACTCTGGGAGGAGGGGCCTAGAGAATCTGGTCAGTTTCAGGGACTTCCTGAAGCTATTAAATGTTTGCCTCCCTGATTAAGGAGTTTCCCTGCAATATGGAATGTTTCAATCTTGGAAGAAACTGCTACACACTAGATACTCTTTGGCAGTACATACAGTAAACTGGGCTTTTAGATTGCTCACTCACCCTGTACTACTTGCTCCTTGTACGTTAGTTTCTTAAAATCTTCCCTATGTTACATTGGCATCTAAATATCTGTGTTGCTTGTGACTTATGTGTTCCCTCAAAAGACAGATGAAATTTTACCCTGAATGTTAAGTAATTTCTTGTGTTTGGGGGCAAAACAGATTTAAAAAACTGATAATGATATATGTAGCTCCTGGAGTTAGAAAAATGTATTTATGCTGCTGTCCTGGTTGGTCTTAATTGTCCACTTAACTCAGCCTGAGTGGAAAAGCCTTGACTGAGGAATTGCCTAGATTGGATTGGTAGTGGGCTATGTAAGCAAGCCAGCTAATCATGAGCCTGGGAGCAAGGGAGTAATCCACAGTGAGCCACCAAGCAGCATTCCTCCATGGTTTCTGCTTCATCCTTCTGCCCTGACATCCCTTGGTGATGGCCGAGGAAATATAAGCCAAATAAAGCTTTTCCTCCCCTAAGTGGATTTTGGTCAGAATGCTTTATCACAGCAACAGAAATAAAAATAACTACTTTTGAAATGAAAATAACATCTGTTTCGTTTTTAGGTTGAACAAGTAAAGTTACTTGACCGGTTTAGTACCAACAACAAGTCACTGACAGGAACACTGTATCTTACGGCCACACATCTGTTATTTATTGATGCTCAGCAAAAGGAAACCTGGGTAAGGTGGACTGTCTACCATGCAGTAAAAATCGACTGGTTTATCTCAACCAATTTTTTTGTTGGGTTTGCTTTTGTTTGCTGTTTGTTTTGGACAGGGTCTTTTTATATAGGCCAGGCTGGCCTTGAACTTGCTATCACCTTCTGGAGTGGTGGGCTTGCAGACATATGTCACTATTCACATGTCAATCAGAATTTTTTCTGTTTCCTTTCTATGACTCATTTATACCATTTGTAATATGGAATTATGTAGAATATCAGACTTTTTTTAACCTTTTCTAAGTAAAAACTTAGAAAATGCCTCTTTGTTCCTGTAGTTTTTTTTTTTTTTAAGTCTAGGTATGTTTGTGCATGTTAGCAGTCATATGGATTGTATAGTATATTCCATAGCATTTTAATGCCAAATTACCAAATAAGGGAGTTTTTTGTAATTTTAAACACTGCAGAAGTATACAAATTAAGAAAAGTCAAATATGTCATGGGTGCGTTAACTATATGGTCGTTTTTGTCCTACCCACAAGGCATGTCATCTACCTTTTTAACAGTACCTTTTTATGTGTTGATTCCAGGATTGCTGATCCTCTCAGCTTGTTCTTCAAGGTTGTCATGACTACCTGATGCCTTTTTTTTTCTTTCCTTATCCATTCATTCCTTTAGCTTCTAATTACCGAGTACCTGCTGTGTTTTCATGTCACCACTTTGGAAATAATAGCCAGTTTTGTGTGTAGATGGCACACCCTGTGTGTCTACATTGTAAATTTTGATAAATTTGTGTAATAGATTTTTGTATTTTATAATAGTAAAGATAAAAATGATATGTTGTTAGTGTGCTGAGTACAGAGAAGTTTGTTTCGGCTCTTGGTTTTTTTTCTGCTGGATTATTTGTCACTATGTATTGATGTTAAATTTTATTTTAGTCTTTTGTACTAGAGAAGGGTCTGTTGTGCAAGGCAGACATTCCACCCTGAGCTGCATCCCCTGGCCCGACTTCTGATTTTATAGGAGTTCTGGATTCTGACGCTGGGTCAGATTGTGTGTCATCACCAGCTCTTCTCTACAGCCAGTCTTTTGTATGCCTTTGTGTACGTGTCTTAGTTAAATATTTTATTTTTAACACAGATTTCTCAGTTTTTTTTCTTCTTTGGTTTTGTTCATTTGTCGTACACTTAAGAAACCTTCCTGTGTGTCAGTATAAAGAAGCTCCTGTGTTTTCTTCTTCTGAAGCTTTAAATTTTATTGTCTACACATCAGTTCTTAATCTATCTGGTGGATGGCATAACATGGGGATTTGGTACTATCATTAGCTGCTGCTTCTCTCCTTACTCTTCGTTGCTTCACCTCGCTCGTTCACGATGAAGCTTCTGTCTGTCCCATCCTTTTGGCATATTGACTACATGTAACCTGCCTCACCTTCTCTTTTTTTTTTTTTTTTTTAAGACAGGAGTTTCTCTGTGTAATAGCTGTCCTGGACTCACTTTGTAGACCAGGCCTCCAACTCACAGAGATCCCCCTGCCTCTGCCTTTCTAGTGCTGGGATTAAAGGCATGAACAACACCTAGCTACCCTGCCTCACTTCTTTGTTAACAGTACCTTTTTATATGTGTTGAGTCCAGGATTGCTGATCCTCTCAGCTTGTTCTTCAAGGTTGTCATGACTACCTGATGCCTTTTCTTCTTTCCTTATCCACTTATTCCTTTAGCACGTAATTACTGGGTACCTGCTATGTTTTCATGTCACCATTTTGGAAATAATAGACAGTTTTAGCACAGAACTTCTGTACTCAATGGAGAGCACATTCTAGTCCAGAGAAACAAATGATAAATAAGAAAAATGCAGTAACGCCCTAAATAGAAAGACTAGGAAAGGGGATGGCATACTTCAGAGGGAGACCCTTGGCCATATTTCTTACTGCCCTGGTTCTGCTGCTGGACTATGGCCACTCACTCAGCTACCGTTTATTGACATGGAGAAAATAGAGATGATAATGTATTCTTGGCTCATGCATCCAGGCATTAAAATGTGTTGAGTGTGATGGCACGTAACATCTGAGACTGAGTATCAATGTGTATGCATTCTAGATAAGAACAAATATCAGTGCTTTGGGTGTTGGTGACTGAGATGCTTTTTAACTGTAGATACTGCACCACCATATTGCCTCTGTGGAGAAGCTTGCTCTGACCACTTCTGGGTGCCCACTCGTGATGCAGTGCAAGAACTTCAGGACTGTGCATTTCATTGTTCCCAGGGAAAGGGATTGCCATGATATTTATAACTCACTGCTGCAACTGTCGAAACAAGGTATTGTTCTTAGAGAACAAAGCTTACATACTCATTTGGGTTTTCCAGGATACTTTCAGATGTCCTTGTTATTTTATCTTTAAGTTATACCTAGGTTCATTTGTTCTGTCAACTCTCTCAGTGCCATCGAAATACCCCCAAATGGTTTAGAAATAATAGAATCTAATGCTTTGAACTGTAAGAATGCTATCCAGTGAAGGAATAATGAAAAGTATTTGTAGTGAAGCCTGAAGTTACTTAGATCATATTAACACATTAAAACGTTCTTGATAAACAAATAGCAGATATAGAGGCACATGTGTGAGTGTGTACGTGGAGGTCAGCGTCCAGTATCTTTACTTAGCAGCTATCCACTTTGTTGTTTCAGAGTTATTGGGACCTGGGACTTGCCAGTTTAGGTGAGACTGACTGGCTGTGAGCCCTAGGGAGCCACCTGTTTCCACCTCCATAGCACTGGGATTACAGCCATGTGCGACCTGTGCTACCATGCCGGGCCTTTCACTTGGATGCTGGGGATTGAACTCAGGTGCCTGTGTTGTCACAGAAAACACTTTATGACCAGCCTATCTCCCTAGCCCCTCATTTTGTTTTGTGTTTTCGAGACAGTGTTTCTGTCTGTAGCCTTGGCTGTCCTGGACTTGCTTTGTAGACCAGTATAGCCTGAAACTCACAGAGATCAACTTGTCTCTGTCTCCTTGATTGCTAGGATTAAAAGTGTGACCCACTATGCCTGGCTCATTTTCTTTTTTTTTTTAATTTTTTTTCTCATTTTCTTTTTAATGTGGGTTTTCTCTACTAGTGAAAGAGGTGTTACTAAGTGAAAAGCCACAGAAGGTCATGGTCCTCGTAGCATAGCTAGGGTGGTAGGTGAACCAGAAAAGAGTAAATCCTGTCTTAGTAGCTAGGGGTTTGGAGGGATAGAAGCCTAAGTGTGAATCTTACCATTACCCAGGCCTGGGTGTCTGAAGGCTTCTTTCCCCAAAGTAACTTGAATTACTTGTTGGCCTTGATTTCAGTTAAATGTTTAGATGGACGCCCACATGAGTGATCTAGAAGCAGGTTCGTGTTCTCTCTGAGTAAATAGAGTCTGATATATTTTGTTGTCCTAGGTTGAACCAAGATATAGAACAAAGATGTCAGTGCTGGTTTGGTTCATACTGACCTATAAGAATGGGTAATTCTAGGGCTGGAGAAGATTATTCAATGGTTAAGAGCATTGTCTACTCTTCCAGGGGACCCAGATTTGATTCCCAACACCCACATGATAGTTCACAACCATCTGTCATTCCAGCTCCAGAGGTTCTGATGCCTTCTGACCCGCATAGGCACCAGGACCAAATGTGTTCGATAGACATAAAGGCAGACAAAACATCTATACACGTTAAATTAACTCAGAAAGAATATGGAATGCAGTTTCATGCTCTCCTTGCCATCCTGTTTTGTTTGTTATTGTTTTATCCCTCCCTTTTTTTCTTTGATGTGCTCCCATGATGTTTGTAGTCTAGGCTGGTCTCAAACTTAAGAATCCTTCTCCTTTGGTCTTGTGAATGCTGGGGCTTTAGACATACACTACACTTGGCCATTTCTAGTTTTTAGTCATGTTATTTTGTTTGCAGTACATTGGAGAAAATGATGAATAAGAAGTGTCTTTATGTTTTTAAATTTTAACATTCAAAAAAAAGGAAAAGCATGCCATCGAAGATTTAACTTTTAAGGCACCTTTTGCTATGATATAAATCTTAGGTCCATACATATGCCTTTAGCTACTGTCATTTCTTTTACGGAACTTAGGAAATATTAAATTCAGGTGAATGGTCACATTTTAGCCACCTCTTTGAAGATGTCAAAGAAAAAAATGGAGTTTTATTTGTAGTGCACTATTTTTTAAACTCCATTGTGTTGACTTTTATCATTTTGCAGCAAAATATGAAGATCTCTATGCCTTCTCTTATAATCCCAAACAAAATGATTCTGAACGACTAAATGGTTGGCAGCTTATTGACCTTGCTGAGGAATATGAGAGGATGGGAGTGCCCAATGCAAACTGGCAATTGTCTGATGTCAACCGAGACTACAAGGTAAGCAAGTAGCCTCTGGAGCAAGTCAGAAAATAGTTCTAGAGGACAGCACATAGTAGGGTTTCAGCCATTTGTAGAACAGCATGCTGTTCTCACTTTTTTAAATGTTTTAAAGCTGAATTAATTAATTAATTAATTAATTAATTAATTAATTTATTTATTTGCCTCATAGTAGCTGTCCAATTTGTTATCTCTTTTTCTGTAGGCACTTAGTGCTATGAACTTGCCTCTTGGAACCTCCTTCACTGTGCCCCTTAAGTGTGGGTGTGTTGTGTATTCATTTTCATTCCATTCTAGAGAGTCTTTTAATTTCTTGACACATCTTACATTCAGTAGAGAGTTGTTCAGTTTCCATTATTTTGTAGGCTTTCTGTTGTTGATATCCAGCCTTGCTCTGTGGTGGTTTGATAGAATGCAGGGTGTTATTTCAATTTTTCTGTATTGTTGAAACTTGCTTTGTGCTTGAGTATGTAGTCAGTTTTGGAGAAAGTTCTGTTGTGCTGAGAAGAAGGTGTACTCTTTTGTGTTTGAATGAAATGTTCTGTAGCTATCTCTTTGGCCTACTTGTCTGTTAGCTCCAGTAGTTTTTCATTTAATTTTTACCTGGACAGCCTGTCTATTGGTGAGAGTGAAGTTTCTGACTATCTGTGTATGAGGATTAATATGTGATTTAAAATACAGTAGTGTTTCTTCTACGAACTTTGGTACCCTTGTATTTGGTGCATAGGTGTTAAGAATTGCAGTGTCCTCTTGATGGAGCTTTTCTTTGACAGGTTATGTCGTGTCCTTCCTTATCTTTTCTGGTTAGTTTTGGTTTAAAGTCTATATTGTCAGATATTAAAATGGCTACACCTTCTTGCTTCTTAGGTCCATTTGCTTGGAATATCATTTTTCCTTTTTTTTTTTTTTACCCTGAGGTGATAGATCCTTGATGTTAAGGTGTGTCTTTGGATCCAGCAGGATGGATTCTGTTTCCACATCCTTTCTGTTAGTTTGTGTCTTTTTCTGAGGGACTGAGACCATTATGAGAAATATCAGTGCGTAATGATTGTTGTCTATTATTTTGGTGGTGGTGTGTGCGTGTGCACATGCATATGCATTTCCTCTTGATTCTGTTGGTCTGGGATTACTTATTCCCTATGTCCTTTTGGGTGTGCTTAGCCTCTTTAGGTTGGAGTTTTCATTCTAGCACTTTCTGTATGGCTGAATTTGTAGATAAATATTGTATAAATTTGGTTTTATTACAAAATATTTTATCCATCTTGAAAGTTTTGCTGGGTGTACTAGCTTGTGCTGGCACCTGTGGTCTTTTAGAGTCGATAGCCTATCTGTCCAGGTAGCTTTTAGAATCTCCATTGAGAAGTTGGGTGTAATCTTAATAGGTCTGCCTTTATATGTTCATTTTCCCTTGCAGCTTGTAATATACTTTCTTTGTTCTATGCATTTAGTGTTTTGATTATTATGTGATGAGGGGAACCTTCATTTCTAGTTCAGTCAATTTAGTGTTCTCTAGGCTTTTTGCATCTCCTTTGAGTTAGGAAAATTTTCTTCAGTGTTTTTGTTGAAAATATTTTCTGTGCCCTTCATCTGGCTTTCTTCTCCTTTCTCTATTTGGTCTTTTCATAGTGTTTCAGGTTTCCTGGATGTTTTGTGCCAGAAGTGTCATTAGCTTTAACATTTTCTTTGACTAATTACCCATTTTTTTCTATTGTGTTTTCAGTGGCAGAGATTCTTTCTTCCAGAATACATCTCTTGTGCTCTCTCAGTGAAGTTTGCCTCTGTGGTTTCTGTTCAAGCTTCTAAAGTTTTTGTTTCCATACTTCTCTAAGTTTGGGCTTCCTTATTAATTCTATTTCCACTTTCAAGTTTTGAATGCTTTTATTCATTTTCTATCACTGTATTTTCATAGATTTCTTTAAGGGATTTATTTTATTACCTCTTTAAGGATCTCTATTGTCTTCAGAAAGGCTGTTGTAAGATCTCTTTCTTGTGTTTCAGCCATGATGGAATACTCAGTGCCTGCTGTAGTAGTTGGGCTCTGGTGGAGACATATTGTCCTTGCTGTACTGTGTTTTCGTGCTGGTGTCTAGGGATCTGGGACTGGGAAGATTGTAATTCTAGGTGTCTGGTTTTGTCTCTGTTGGCTGGGTGTTTTGTTCCTTGGTTTCTGTTTCCTCTCTGGTTCTTAGGAGAGTGTGGTTGGCTGTGTGTTTGGTGGGAAATTTTCTGATGTCCTGATAGGTGTGGTTATTGGGTATTCCCGGGAGGTGACACTTTGAAAGGGAGGCTGGAGGGGCATGCACAGGGTCATTGGAGGGAGGAAAGCAGTGTGTTTTCACCAGGGTCTGCTTAATCTCCTGGAAATGGGGACAGACAGTGAGGAGAGGCCACAGTAGAAGGTCTTCTACAGAGCTGGGTGTGAGACTGGGGCATTGGACTTGGAGGAAATGGAGGGAGAGGTGAAGATCTGCAGTTAATCCACCTGTTTCCACTAGCCTCTCGGTTTCAGAATGGAGTTAAGTACTTTCTTTTGATATTCCCAGGTCTGTGAGACTTACCCCAGAGAGATATATGTTCCAAGGACAGCCAGCCGGCCAGTGATTGTGGGCAGTTCCAACTTCCGGAGCAAGGGCAGACTTCCGGTCCTGTCCTACTGCCGACAGGGCACTGAGGTAAGAGCCTTCCCTGACTCTATAAATGCAGTGAACTAGGGTTATGCTCTAAGCTTCTAGAAGAACACTAACTTTTTTGTTTTGTTTTGTTTAGGAAGATAGGACCTCACTATGTAAGTAACTGTTTTAGAATGCACTATGTAGATCAGGCTGGCCTCAAACTCATGAGATCTGCCTGCCTCTGCTTCCCATGGCCTGGGGTCAAAGGAGTCATGCCCAGCAGTGAATGCTAACTTTCACTTGATAGATTTGCTGTTGCAGTGTTGCTAACAGAGACATGTTGGGTTTCACTATTATTTTTGGAGTTTTAACACAAAACTTCCCGGAAGTACACCTTTTCTACTTTTCTTTTTCAGAAATTCCTTAATAGTGGGTCCAGTGAATAGAGAGATTCTGTTTCTTTTCTGTAGTTTTCCTTTAGCCCTACCTGTACTTAGAGAAATAGGATAGCTTGCTCATGCCAAGGCAAGCACTGAAAGCAGGAAGAGAACACAGGGCATGTGGTCTCTGTCTGCACAGTGTCCACATGGAAAGGATTTGGTAAGGAGGAGGTAGAAGAGGCGTGTCCACATGAGGGCTGAGGCAGGGCTTGCTCTTTCTGTGTGTCTGCACATATGTGTTGCTGCCGCTGGAAGCCAGGGTCTCCTACATACTGAGCAGGTTCTCCTTGAACGTCACCCCCAACCCAAGGGAACTTATCTTTGTAGCTTCCTGAAAGGAGGTGCACTGTGTGTTCAGCGTGCTCTGTGTATCTTTCCCAGCTTGAAAGGTACTTCTTTGCTAATGACTGATGTTCAGAGACAGATTCCACATGGTTGAGACCACGCCATCTCTGACTCCCACGCCTTTCTAAAACTGATTTTGAAACACATTCCCCTCCCCTCCAAGAAGGTTTTTCTTCTTCCCTGGTTTTGGATTTCACAGTGACTGATGTGCCTTGATATGTTGTTTGCAGACTACTCAGAACACCAGTCTCAGCTTAGAGAAGGAGCTTCTCTGTTTCTGCAGTGTTTCTTTTTTCTGTTCATTTTCTTCGTGTTTTTTTTTTCTAGCTTTTATTAGTTGACAAACTTCCTGTGTAAGCAAGCCTCCATCTCTGCAGGTTTATTTTCACACTTGCAATGTTTTTCTGTTTTCTATAAGAGTTCCTTAGCTGTATTTCTTATCCAGCTCTCAGATTCTTTAATTCTCAGACTGTGTGATGTTTAAGGGCTCTTTCTCTTTTCTGAATTTCTTTAGTCAGTTTCCTTTTGTCTGATTTGATGTCAGCAACTCTCAAGCAGACTTTTTTTTAAGGAATTCTGTGTGGCTTTCTCTTCCTCTGTTCATATTCTAGGTTTTTAGAAGCCTGAAGTTGTATACCTTTGCATTTTTCCTTTTCTGCTGTTCATTTGGCTTCTTCATAGAGCTTGTGCTTTTGCTGGTGTATCAGCAAAAGGATTTTGTGTGACGTAACAGTTAAGAAGGCAGCTCACATTCTGCTGGGTAGACTATATTTCATCCTCTTGATTCGGAAAGTTCACAGCTTCAGTCCCATCCATTGCTGTGCCCATTCTTACGGTCAGTCCCCTTTGTACGCTAAACTTTGTGTTTAGGAAGGAAAGATCTGGAGGTCACAGCCTATCTCTGTGTGTGTTCAGCCACACCCTGCTCCCTGCGGGTGCAGCTCCGGTGCTCTCATCTTGCTGCTGGGTTCTCTCAGCTCCTTCCTGTAGCAGGTACTTCCTCTGCCAAACCAGCTGACAATCTGCTGTTATCTCCAAATGTCACTGCACCTCTGTTGAAATTTTTTGCCCATGCTTGTCCTGGTGGCTTCATATGTCGTATATTTGTTAGAACTTGGTTCAGGTAAGTTTTTAAACAAGACATTTCTAATCTACTTGTAGTACCTTAAGCCATACCTGGTCACCTTTGACACACCCTGTTAGCCTATGTTGTTTATTGGAAAGCTTGGCTGAAAAATACTCCTTGTTGATTTAGTAAACAAAAAATGGGTGTAAAAGGAATGTGGAGCACAGGATTCTTTAAAACAACATCAGAAAGCCCTGCTTTTGTTCAGAGAACTAAGGTGCCACATCCAGCAATAAATAACTAATTTTTTTTTTTTTCAGAAAATAGGAAAGAACTATTGAATATTAAAAACAATGTAACAAGCCACATGCAGTGTCGCACACCTGTAATCCCAGCACAGGGAGAAAGAGGCAGGGGGATCTCTGTGAGTTTGAGGCCAGTCTGATCTACAAAGTGAGTCCAGGACAGCCAAGGCTACACAGAGAAACCCTGTCTCAAAAAAAAACAAACAAAAACAAAACACAACATAAAGTCCCCACTGTCTTCTGCCATTGTAATTTTTGTGGTTGTATTTTATGTGTGCATGTAAAATGAACAAACTGGAATGTAACCTGGAGGCAACATGGGTAAGACAGAGATATGTTTCTAAATCTTTAAAGAAAGTTTTTTTCGGCATGTGAGGAGGCAGGGTTTCTCTTTGTAGCCCTGGATGTCTTGGAATTTACTTTGTAGATCAGGCTGGCCTCAAACTCACAGAAATCCTCCTGACTCTGCTTCTCAAGTGCTAGGTTTAAAGGCTTGCACCACCACAACCAACAATCTTTCAATTTTTTTAAGGAATTAAAATACAGTAAATATTCATTAATTTATTTTTATAGATATGTCTCCCCTTAGATTATCTTTTCTCATCTTTATGTCTCACTTCACAAAAAGATTTCTGATTTTTAGTAGGAAATTAAATTTCAGATGTTTATTTTATAATTTTTATTCTACACATAAAGGTGTTTTACCTGAATGTATTTCTGTGTAGTGCTCTTACCTGCTGAGCCACCTCTCCTGCCTAAGATGTTGTTCCTATTAAGGGAAGGAGAGATGGCTCAGTGGTTAAGAGTGTGTTCTAATCTTTCAGGGGACTTGAGTTCAGTTCCCAGTACCCACACTCAGCAGATCAAAACTGCCTGTAATTCCAGCTCCAGGGAATCCAATGCTCCCTCCTGGCCCCAAGGGTGCCTGCACACAGTGGCATGCACTTGCCTAGGCATACATTCAAAAATAGAAGTAAAAATCCTAAAATTTCCTATTCTAGCTCATCTTTGTTACTTGAACTTGAGCCAAAAGTACCTTGTAGCTCCTCTAAAACCTGGAATGCAGATGTGTCCTTGGTTTCAGCTCCTTGATAGACAGTTGACCAAGTCCTGCTACTTAGGGCCACAGTAGTGAATTTATATTAAATTTGATTGTGTGTGTGTGTGTGTGTGTGTACAAACTAGGTAAGGAAACATTTAGAATAGTATATTGGAAACTGTCTTAATTAGAGTTCTATTGCTGTGAATACACAGCGTGACAATGGCAACTTTTATCAAGGAAAACATTTAACTGAGTCTAGCTTACATGTTCAGAGGTTTAGTCCAGTATTGTCATGGCGGGAAGCATGGCTGTGTACAGGCGGACATGGTGCTGGAGAAATCGCTGAGAGTTCTACATCTGGATTAGCAGGTAGAACTAAGAGAAAGTGAATGTGAGCCTGGCTTGAGCTTCTGAAGCCTCAAAGCCCACACTTGTGACACATTTCCTACAGGAAGACCATATCTACTCCAAGAAGGTCCACTTTTAATATTGCCATCCCTGTGAGTCTATGGGGGCCATTTTCATTCAAAACACCACAGGAAATATAGGCAGCATCTAGATTCTAGCAAATGTTTAAATCAAATAATTTTTTAAAGTTAAGGCCATTCAATTTTCTTGCTGGCTTTTAAATAGATTACATATTTGATTTTAACACTTTGAGTCTTTTTTTAAAGCCTTTAGTCTTTTTATACTCTGGTTTTGTCTTTTTAAAATTAGGCTGCCATTTGTCGATGTAGTCAGCCATTGTCAGGCTTCAGTGCCAGGTGCCTAGAAGATGAACATTTGCTTCAAGCCATTAGTAAAGCCAACCCAGGAAATCGCTACATGTATGTTGTGGATACCAGGCCCAAGGTATGTATCCAGTACTGTGCAGTCTGTTATCTTTATTGTTTTCTGTCTTTAATTAATGGGAAGAAATATATTTGCCAAGATATAACAAATCTGAATCGTGGCTCTAAATTAACCAAGGCTAATGCTATAAAGGAAATCAGTCCTTTGAGGGATAAATTAGGAAACCAATTCTCAGTGCCCTAGGTCATGATTTCTTCTGTCTCCCGATACACACACACAAACACATACACGTACACATGGACATACAAAACCCTGGGCTTTTTTGTTTCTTTGTTTTGTTTTTGCTTTTTTCATGACAAGGTTTCACTATGTAGCTCTGACTGTCCTGGAAACTCACTATGCGGACTAGGCTGGCCTAGAACTCACCAGATATCTTCCTGTCGCTACCTCCCAGTGCGCGGATTAAAGATGTGTGCCACCACACGGCCAGATAAGGAACTCTTGAGGATGTTAAGTCTTATGTTATTGTGGAGAAGTACTAGTTAGTGTGTGATGTGAAAAAAAATAGAAATTCTTAATACTTTCCCCCTCCTCTACTTTTCTTTTTGTTGTTGTTGTTGATATGTTCTAGTTTTTTTGAGACAGGATTTCTTGTAGCATTTGCACTATGTAACTAAGGATCCTGACCCTTCTGCCTCCACCTCGTAAATGCTGGAATTGTAGGCATGCACCACCACACCCAGCTTACTACTCTTTGTTAATAACATTGATAATTAACAAAACACTTTGTGTTAAAGTAATTTGGCCATAATTTGAAAGATTAAGAAAATAGAGGAAACAATTATTTAACAAAGGAAACATTGAACTTGAGAAATGTACTATACAGGGAATCACTGTTCTCTTGGCTTCTGTGGTAAAAGCTAAATTCTCACCACTGAGACTGACTCAGAATCCGTAGTACTTTTTTTATGTGCACGGTAAACAGCTGACTCATATAGGACCCTGAAATTAGAGTAATTACAATCGTCGATGGTGACAGCTAACTTTGTTTTGATTTTTATTATAGCATCGCATGCAGAGCTGGTGGGATACACAAAAGGACATTGGCAGAATTATAGTGAGGATTTCTTCAAAAATCTGGAATGATGAGAAAATAAGAGAAAGCGATGAGAAAAAGCGAGTGAGCACTATAAAACACAAGCGATTTTAGGCAGCATTGTGAAAGGAACCGTAGCTGTTTTAGAGTGATTTTCATCACTGTGCAATCTCACAAAAGACAATGGAAAATACAGAAGATGAGAATAATTTGAGTAAATTAGAAAGTATTAAAAATTAGAAATTGGTATTGATAATCTTTTGTTAAATATAAAAGACTTTCTTAAGACTCAAGAGTTGGTAATGCCGCATAAAGAAAAAATCTTTTCCCTTGTTACTGGAGGCTTGTAATCTAATGATTCTTTTTAGGTGATATTATATATAAAAATTAATTATAATATGTACATTTTGAAGATGAGGTTTAATTATTAGCTCAAGACCTAGTAGTTTTATCTTTATAATTGTCACTGATACAAAACAAAAAACAAAAAAAACCCTTTTTTTTTTTTTGGCATACTTTTCTAAGTTTAAAACTAAGAAGTAATGTGGACATATTTTTAATTTTGCTTCAGTCTTTCTAGATGGCTGGGTAACTGGTGAGTTCGTGGGTACAATTCACCTGTACTTTCTACCAACTTGAGGCCCATTCACTTAATAAGAAGCTACTTTCAAAAATAAAAAATAAAAAAAAGAAGCTACTTTCACCCAGTTTAGGTCATTTTCTTTATCGACACTCATAAGAAAAGAAGAGTAATTATAGTAACATATTATATGAAAGAAGCCAGCAAGCCAAATCCTGATGGTGTCTCAGGCCAGTGTCTGTTTCCTCTAGAGAGCAGTTTGTCTTGGGCACAATCCTTGGAGCTGAGCTAGGCTGGTGGATGATGCTGTGCATGACACAGCTGTGGCACAGTGCTAGGTCTCCAGTGCTGAGCTTCGTGGCACAGAGCCAGAGTTCACATCTGCCTCTCAGGGCATCTGTGTTTTGATCTCACAGGCTGATTCTGTAGACCGAGCTCTCCAGCCTACCCATCTCCAAATCCAGATGTACACAGGAAACGTTTCTTTTTAATTTTGAGATGTCACAGAAATGAATGCAGCTGACTTATCTTTTTAAATTTTGAGTCTGCTGGATTTTCCTCTGTGTAACAACCACATTTCTCTGCACACTGTTTCTTCACTGCTGGTGATGTGGCAGTTTGGCCTATTAAAAAATAGTAGCTTATTCAATTTTGATGTTTCTTTAAATGTTCTCCTGAAGTATGACTTAGTGTTTTTATGGCATTTGGGTAAATTAAAGACAAAAATAACTTGATTGTAAATTTCTAAAATCTTGAATTTTAGCTCAATGCAATGGCTAACAGAGCAGCCGGAAAAGGTTATGAAAATGAAGACAACTATTCTAATATTAGATTTCAGTTTGTTGGAATAGAAAATATTCATGTCATGAGATCCAGCCTTCAGAAATTACTGGAAGGTATGATACTGTACACCTTTTGGAGAGCTTTGTGCAATGGAAATACAGTGATAGTCACATAGGGCTTTGAATGTTCTGTCAGTTACTCACAGACTAAAGAGAACGTGGGAATGATGTTAATAATATACTGAAAGTCTTATTTTTAGCATGTAGACAGTATAAAACTGATAGAATAATCTCTCCCTCCTCTCCCCCTCTTCTTCCTTCCCTTTCCTTCTCTCTCTCCATCTTCCCCCTCCTTTCCCTCTCATGCTCAATTGCTTACTCATACTTTTTTGGGGGGACAGAGGCTCATTTAATCTAAGGTATCCTCGAACTACCTCTGTAGCCAAGGCTTGCCTTGAAATACCCATCCTCTTGCTTCAGCCTCACAGCTTCATGCCTGGGATCACAGGCATGCCCAGCCACAGCCAGCAAGAGCTTTACATCACCCAGTCTTAGAAAGCAATGCTGTCTTACCTCACATCTCCCTTCAGCACACTTGAGTAGCCATTAGCTGCCCTGCCTGCAGTTCTAATGGTTTACGGATCACTGTTGGTAGAGATCATTGAGTAGTCACTGTAGTAATCATGGTGTAGTTTTAAAAAATTATAATATGAAATATTTAAACATTGGTGCTACTTTTTTAAAGGTGATTGAACATTTCTTTTAAGCATAAGGAAGGACAGAAAAGTATTTCCCAAAGTGTTATTCAGTGCTAATAGTGCATTCATTGTATGCATTTCCCCTAGTTCTTGAGAGATCCTGAAACGATGAACGGGCACTCTGATTGAAAACCTTCTCTATTTTGTAGTGAATGGCAGCAAGGGGCTTTCTGTCAACGATTTCTACTCTGGTTTGGAGAGCTCAGGCTGGCTTCGCCATATCAAGGCTGTTTTGGATGCTGCGATCTTCTTAGCCAAAGTAACTATCATTCATTGGTTTGGGGTCTATAATGGTTGGGAAAGAATGGACTTAGCCTTGGTACAGAAATCTCTTCTGCTCAGACAACCTTTACTATTTTTCACATTTTTAATGGGTACACTTTAAAGTGGTACCTAATATGGAGTTTACAATCCCCAACTATTTAGAAAAAGCATCTTTTGTTTGTTTGCTTTGTTTTTGGTGTTTGTCATTTTACTTCTGCAGTGGCAGCAGTGGTATTGCAGGACCAGCTCTTATGATGTGTATTTTCTGGTGTGGGTTTCAGTACATGACCTGACTGATTTCTATAAAAGGCATTTTTTAAGAATCTAAATGTCATTTTCCCTTCAGGCAATAGTGGTTGAAAATGCAAGTGTGCTGGTCCACTGTTCGGATGGGTGGGATAGGACCTCCCAAGTCTGTTCCCTCGGTTCGCTTTTGTTGGATTCCTACTACAGGACAATGAAAGGATTCATGGTAAGGGTTTGTTCCATTGGACCCAGTGAGTTCTTTACCCCGGGGATGCTTGGCAGTAGTCAGAGACAGTTTTATACTAAGGTCATGCAGCTGATAGAATCTGCTAGGCAGCTGACCCTGCACAGGGCAGCCAACTCCAGTTAAAGCCTTCTGGGACCCTTGATGCTGGTGCTTCTGTGGCAGGACCTGTGGTCAGACTGATTTCCATTTGTGCTGTGTATATATATGTATGTACATATACACATGTATATATGTACACATATATTTATATGTATATATATATATTTTTTTTTGGCAAAATACTTTAGATTTAGAGGTTAACATCCTACCATCACCACTACTACCCTAAAGTGTTACAACAAATTGTTTATATCTTCTCCCTCACTTTTATCTAACAAATGTAACACAGTACTTAAATACAGTAAGTACTTAACTGTAAATCATATTGAGAGTTACAGCACCCTGATGTTAAGTGAAACAGCAGGGAGTCATTTCTCTCTATGAAACCAAGTTTCTAGTTGAACATGCTTCTTCTAGGTAGGACTTTATCTTCTATTTATTTCCTGCTTAGTATTTGATTAGATCAACTTCCAATTTTGCATGTAAAGCCAGGTATATTGATGTAGGCCTGCAAGCATAGCATTTGGGGGGTGAAGATAGGTCTATCAAGAGTTCATTGTCATCCTTTACTATGTTATCAATTTGAGACCAGCCTGAGCTACATGAGACCAGCCTGAACTCTGTATGAGACCCTGTCTAAAAACAAAACAATATTTACATGGAAATACATGATAAGTATTACTAGAAGAAATATTAGATAGATTTTTAAGCTTATAATTATTAAACAGAGTCCTGTGACAAGGATAACATTTAGTAGCCAGGTGATGGTAGAGCACACTTTTAGTCCCAGCATTCTGGAGGCAGAGGCAGGCAGGTATCTGTGAGTTCTAAGCCAGCCTGGTCTGTGGGGCTAGTTGTAGGACAGTGAAACACTGTCTCAGGAAAAAAATAAAATAAATAAAATAAAAAAACCAACTCCCCCCAAAAAACATTTTATAAGATAACTTTAAGCTTAATTTGCAAGTATAAGTGAGGAATGATATTCTTAGTGCATCTGTCAGGCATCTGAATAAAGCCATGTAGTAAATGACCAGGACCCTTTAGATGTAGGTAATGCATGAGAGATAGGCCGAGTGAGTGAGTGAGAGCCTGAGGAAGAGGACACTGAGATGTGCTTTCCCTTCTGGGCAATGAGAGCCATTAGAGGATATAAAAGGAGAAGCAGTAGCTTGCTGAGAGATGCTCTGTGAAAAGATACCTTGGCCCCTTGAAAGCAGAAGGAAGTGGGATGGAGGCTCTGGGTCCAGGATAGCTGCTATTAATCCAGCTGAAGAGGGAGGAGGTCTAAAGGTAAGACAGCAGGGCACACACAAGTAGACAGAGGCGATGGGCTCTGGGGTCATTGATGAAGGAGGACTGGCCATGGACTGAGTGGCAGTGGAGGATAAGAGCCCCTCATCCAGGTTTCCAGGTTGCTGAGTCAGCTTCTGGGGGTCCTGTTCGTCTCTGAGCTAAACAGAGGAGGAAGTTCGAGAGAATAACAAGTCAGGATGGATAGATGTTGGAGGGCCCAAGATGAAATCTGAATTCTCACACATGGTCACAGTGTAGAAGTGACAAAGCTACCCAGGATGGGACCTGTAGTGTACTCAAGAAACTGCATCCTCAACCAGTATGCTGTGTTAAATGGGTTTAAGACAACATTGGAGATGTCAGAAGTGGCCATCTTGACACTGAGCAAAGAATGCGCTGCTGTGGTTGTGTAATGAGACTATAAAGTGTGTCGAGCACTAAGAAGGCACTTCAGATCTGATAGTAACAGTTGAATCTGTTCTCTTACTGGCTGTGGTGATGCATGTCGTTAGTCCTGTACTTGGGAAGCTGAGAGAGGAGGATGGAGAGTTCAGCCCAACCTGAGTTTCATATTGAGAAGTTGATTCAAAAAGAGAAACACGCCTGTCTGGCCTCAGATTCTCTTTTCCTCCCTGAGCCTCTCAGTGCTGGGTCACAGCGGGCTTCTGCTGCCGGTCGGTGTTATTTCCATTTGTACAGAAATGTAATGCATCTTACCAAATGCGCTTCTGATAAGCAGAGCAGAGGCAGTCTGTCATAAGACCACTTTATGTTTATTCTCACTCTTCTGGAATCCTCGCTGTAGTCGAGAGGCTGGCTTTTTTTTTTTTCTACCCGTAGTTTTTTTATTTTTTAATTTCTTTTCTTAGCAGGATTGTTACCATATTTTTTTTTAATTGAATAGTGATATAGTTGATTTTGCTTTTTCTCACTAGGTTTTAATAGAAAAAGATTGGATATCGTTTGGGCATAAGTTTTCAGAGAGGTGAGTGGCAAATGTACATTTAAATCTTTGCAAAATTGTACCACCATGTTCCTGTTCTTTGGAATTTGCACATTTCTGTGGCGTGAGAACTGTAGTTCTGTAGTATATGAAGCCAGACTTTATGTCTCTGGTATTTCTTTCCTTTTGTGCCTTTGTTAGTTCTCATGGCCATTGAGGTTTGGTTTTTCTGAGACCAAGACAGTCTTGTAGCAAGGCTGGCCTTGAACTTCTGGTCCTCCTGTCCTCCTGGTCCTCTACTTCCCAAGGACCGGGGTTATAAATGTCCATGAAAATGATGGTTACAAATGGACTTTTATATGTCCATATTACATTTATAATACATATGTTAATATATATTTATAATATACATTTATAATATATATGTATTAGTTTTGTATGTTTGGGTTTATGGTACCTAAGCAAAGAACTTCTTTCAGAGGCATTTTTAAAAGCTTGTGCTTTTTGGGGGTTTAGGTGTGGCCATTTGGATGGTGACCCAAAGGAAGTCTCACCGGTGTTTACTCAGTTCTTGGAGTGTGTGTGGCATCTGACTGAGCAGTTCCCACAAGCCTTTGAGTTCAACGAAGCGTTTCTTCTTCAGATCCACGAGCACATTCATTCATGCCAATTCGGGAACTTCCTCGGCAACTGTCAGAAGGAGAGAGAGGAACTCAAGTAAGTGAATGATGAAAACCGGCCTTTTCCTCCTGTACCACTTAAGCCATCGTACCCAAATCATGGCTACAAGATGAAATGCCCTGACAGTTTCAGATAGAGCTAAGTTCTACTTTAGAGTTTCTAGTCTTATTTTTGAAGCTAAAAGTACCCTACTAATATCTGCTGCCTTTCCAGGTAATAGTAAAAATACATTTTGAAATATATTTTGAAGTTTAACAGTATCCGGAAAAGTACATGTAGGACATGTGGTCAGCACACTGCTGACATGCACGTGTGCATCACACACACATACTTATGTATATATCCAATATATCCAATACCCAGCACAAGAACAGCCTGCTGTATAGAAGTTCCCTTTGGTGTTCTTTTTCAGTTTGAATGTATATTTTAGGAGAGAGAAATGTTTACATAATTCTGTTTCCCAGAAAGTGTTGGCCACTACTTTTGTAGCAGTGGAAGATAGAAAATGATGGATTTGTCTTGTGGTAAGATGGTGGATTATGGCTGTCCTCCCCATGGGGCAAACAAGCCTGCTGGCATTGGCTGTTACATGGCACCCCTGATGGGGGTCTCGTGCAAGCGCTAGATGCTGCACTGGAACCCTCACCTGTTCTTTATACCAGCTTGTGTTTTGGGGTTTGGATTCTGAGATTTCTTACAGTAACAGTGAATCTTGAACTTCCAAGTGGCGTATAGAGAGGCAAACCCCGGTTGTAGTTGGAAGACAGCCACATGCCCACATTCCCAGTAAAGCAGAACCGAGGAGACGTGGAAAATTCTAAAGGTGTAAAGGGAATAACACAGATATGAGCAATAAGAACAAGATGACATTAGCCTTTGGACTGCAGTCACAGTGACACTATGGCTTATTATAATTTGGGGCAGATGACTTTTTTCGGGGTACAAATCCATTTTAGGAAAAACTTCTCAATTGGCACCAAAAACCCAAAATAACCTCAAAATGAGAAGAGCAAAATAAAATTGGTTATTTCTTTCTTAGCACATGCTCTGGGCCTTGTTAGGGCACACGCATGCCTGCAGCATCTGCCAGGCTTACCTGCTGTGGCTGCGCCTCTTCTACAGCCATCTGTCCATCACCCCTGTGCTGTTAGACAAGCACGTGGCTGGCATTTCAAACTCCTACTGAAATATGTTTTTGTCCTGTGGTGATTGCCCTCATGGCCCAGCAGGGGGTGGGAATAAGGCAGAACAGCTGAATCAGCATCCTGTTGCAAGGCGTGGCAGTCCTGGGAGGTGAGAAGAATCCCAAAGTGGACAAGTGAGAAACTGGTCGACCTGTGCTGTGCCCAAGACACATTTATTACATGGTCGCAAATGAGAAAGAAAACATGGGGGCAGCAGAACAGAGACAGGCGAGGCTAGTCCTGAGCTGGAGGCCTGAGAGCAGCCGCCTGATGTGTGTCAGCAGGGTGCTGTGCTTTATGCTGTTCTTGTTCCCTAAGGCTGAAGGAGAAGACTTACTCCCTGTGGCCCTGCCTTTTGGATGACAGAAAGAAGTACTTAAATCCTCTCTACAGTTCCAACTCTCAGAGACTGACAGTCTTGGAGCCAAATACAGTCTCTTTCAATTTTAAGTAAGTTGGTCACTGAAGCATTTATATGTGATTTTTCTCAAACAAATTTTGAGAGCTTTAAAAAATAATGTTAATTTATTATTGTTACTATAATTTTATGAGTATTTTGCCTGTGTGTTTGTCTGTGCACAGTGTGTGTATGTGTGTCTATGTGTGTGTGTGTGTGTGTGTGTGTGTGTGTGTGTGTGTGTGTGTTGCTTGTGGAAGCCAGAAGAAGGCATCAGATCCCTTGGAACTGGAGTTACAGGTGATTGTGAACCTCCATATATGTTCTGGGACCTGAACCCGGGTCATCTGGAAAAGTAGCCAATGTTCTTAACCACTGAACCATCTCTCCAGCCCCTAAAAATATTATTTTAATTAAACATTTACGGTCATTGTATGTATGTATGTATGTATGTATGTATGTATGTATGTATGTATGTAT